ACGACAAACTAGATTGGGTTCCACCAATCTACACTTTGTAATTGAGGTCAAGGTTTATATCCTTCTTCGAGTAATTGTGATTTTTGGAATACGCATGTTGGAGTCTGGCCTAACTCCTCTATCCCTGTGATGGAACTTTGATTAGAAAAACAGTTCAATTGTTCAAAAATTACAATTCAAACTTTAGCAAACTTCCATATATAAAAGCTCTTCTGAAACTGAAAGAATTATCCTAAAATTCTGCATCTCTGCCTTACAATAAACAGGCAGGATATAGCACATAATTTAATATCTAAAAACTCAAATTGGTCGTATCGATCAGGTGTAGAAGCGATAAGTCTTGGCTGATTTGATGATACTCCATAATCCACCAATGGGAGATGTTAGAGTCAAAAGTACACCCACTATAATGCAAAGCTGCAACATAAAGAGAAAAAAATAAGAGATAGGGGTAAGTAGGGAAAAACCTTGCAAGAAACGGTGCATGTACAAAATTATATTAATTTATAACAATTAATTTATATATTGATGTGAGAATCTACATTTATTAACAATGATAAGATGCTATATCTTATGCAAAAGACGCTTGTTATGTACTTATTGCTTTGATGCATATCATCGAGTGTATAAAAAGTTTTTCCCTAAATAATTTGTATAGACATCACTATTTATATCAAATCAATAAATATGTAAGATATTTGTCTTTCATAAATATATTTTTAACTTAACTATGGTGAAGCTATATGCACTCTCATTTTAATTTTTAATCGCTGAGTTTTATTGATTAGTTTGATGTAAACACTGAGTGCAAGTAAATTTCATGATTACATAATTTCATTTACAAGTTCTGGTAAACTTACCCAGTTCGTACACCATGACAAGCCAAACCGTCTGGGCTTTTTTATAATAAGCCAGATGATGCATGGAAGCTGTAGGTAGAAATTAAAAACATAGTAAATATTAAATATCTTTGTCATATGAGTATTATATAGTCATAACTTCTGATTTAATGAAGTGAAAATTTAATGAGTTATCTATGAAATATACTTACATAATATGAGGTTGGTGCCAGAGCAAAACCTCCAAAGAATCCCATCAAACCACCAAAGAATGGTATTGTCATGTAGCCATACTTCTCTATAACAACCTTATTTGTTCCGAATTATTTTAGCTGTTATAGCGAAGTGTTGTTATAGAGAACATATATTATAACATAGCATAAAAATTAGTTCCATAAAAACTTGGCTTTTACGTTGAATGGTTGTTATATTGCGATGATGTTATAGAGAGCTCTGACTGTAATTAAAAATAGCGAAAGATACCTGGTAACTCCCAATGACATGAGCGACAACAAAAATGTTAGCAGTTGCAATAAGCCATGTAGGTCTATGTAGTGTGAGCAAGATGTTATCATCAACTCCATTACCAAACACCCAATATCCAATGAAAGCCACTGGCAAATAACACAAGGCCACAATAATATAAGCTGTGAATACACCTTTCCACATTGCTTTTTTTGAAGGTGCATCTTCTGTTGAAGGAATTGTAGCTTGAATTTCAAGAACTACATTATGTCCAGCATATGCAAATGCTACATTTCCTAATGGACTCAGAAACATAAACACATTATCTGATATTTTTTCACTTTTTGGACCATAACTAACTTCTCTCTCACTTTTTCCTAATTCCTTTAGTGACACAGTCCATGCTATAGCAGAGTAAGTCATGGACAAAATCGCCGCTACGAAGGAGACAGAAGAGATGGAGTTGAAATTTGGCAAGTGAGAGAGGACAAATTGGAAAGAGGAGAAAATCATAATGAAGTAAGTGAGTTTGATAGGTTTGGCATTTGGGAAAAGAATTTCTTGGAATTTTTTCAAGGATTTGCCACCAGTGACCATGTAAATAATGCAAGTGCTAACTTCAACTATAATTTGTTGGGGTACAACAATCCAGAGACCAAGTTTATCACCAAAAGCATATTGGCCAAGCTCATGGTACCTGTCGAATCTCTTGCCTGGTATCATTTCATGCATCTCCACCATTTGCCAGATTGTGTAGAATGTTATATTCCATGACATTAACGTTACCGTTACACCAGCTCCCTTGCAACATTTATTACAATTTACAATTTTATAAATTCAACTAATATAAAAAAAAA